CAGTTGTAATTGTTAAAAGCCTGTCTGAACAGATGGATCTCTATCTTTTTTCGGGAGGATAACAGGGAAGGGGCCATCTCATCTCCCGAGGGAGGGCGTTCCATAGCCTGGGAGCTGCCACCGAGAAGGCCCTCTCCCGTGTCATCATCAGCTGTGTTTGTGCTGGCAAAGGGACTGAGAGGAGGGTCTCCTCTGCTGATTTTAATCATGGAGAAGGATGTTAAACCACATGAGGGACAAGACAGGACCTTGAGGGATGGCACGGGCCATTGGCCGAGGTGTTCAATAACAGTCCCCAAGCAAATAAATAAACAAATACAGTATCCTTTTTTAAAATAAAAGAAGCTGGTTATATTACAAAGCTTGAAGGATGCTCAGTAACATCTTTTTAAAAAAACTGATAAACCAGTTTTAAAATGTAACTTTAGGGACCTGCCTTAAACGTGGCAGAGAACATCCCAGGTTGACTTCCTAACTTGATGAGAAAATCCTTCCTTTTCTCCGGGGGCGAATATTTGGGGAGTGCCCTGTGTTGTGATTAGCACTGAGTGAGGCTCATCCTGAGTGAGTTTCTCAGGTTCATCCCTGAGAAATCTGGTAGAGAAATATTGAGTTATCTTTGAAGGATGTGACCTTCTCAGCCTCTCAGTGCTGCTGTTTCAAAGCAGGAGGGTGCCATTTTGTGTCCTTCTCTCTCACCTGACAGGACCTGCTTGCCCAAAATGGCTTCCATTCTAAGCACCCAAGAATGAACTCCCTTCCCCTCTCGCATGGTTTCTCTCCCCCAAGCCAACTGCGCTCTGCATTATGTAAGGCCAACCAACCAAGCTGAAACTGAAAGCCACAGGCAGCTTTGCGGAGAAAGATGCTGGGTGTCAGTCATGTGGCGTCTGATCTCCCCGCAGAGCCCAGGCTCTCACTGAGGAACCTGCCTCAAGGGAGGGGGTGGGCATCTCTGCCATACAGTATTTCCTGTGCCAGAAGTGGCTCTGGTTGGGTGCACTCCCCTCATATCCCATGGCCGCCTTTCTAGCCTTTGGGGGGAAACCACAATTTTCTTTTTGACACTTTCAAATGCAACAATACACCTTTTGATTGCCAGTTGAACCCTTGCTTTCTGCTTCAGGCCGACTTGGGCAACAGGGGCTTCCTGAGGATGGAGCAATGCCTGGCCAGAGCCAACTGAGTCTGACTACATCCCAGTCTCACAACCGCCCTGTGAGGAAGGCTCAGTTGAGGCATGAGGTGGGAAAAGCCTCCCCCACTCCACCATGAAATGTCTTAACTGAGGGGGGATTTGAACCCAGATCTGTTGCATCTAAACACTGTATTCTGGATGTTGCTAAACGCACCCAAATTCTCTTTTCCATCTTGGGTTTCTTTCCCAAGAGGGCTTTTGCCCCATTCTCAGGATTTCAATTTTTACCACAGAAATACGTATCTGTATCAATCTGCAAACTTCTTCTGTAAGACCCAGAGTGGAGGCTGGACAGTATTGTTTCTTATAAACTTTTTTTTCCAAAAAAATTTGTACATATCAAAATCTGTGTACAGTACTAATTTCTTTTGCATCAGGAGGTTTGTGAGAAATCAGGCAAGGAGGAAGGACTGAGCAAGTCACAAAGGGGCTTTCAGAAACAAATTCCACACTCGGAAAAATCAAACACAAACTATTATACTCTTTGCATAGTATTTATTTGGGGGGGGGATTTGAAAGCTTTGTACCCCTTGTTTCCAACTCAAAAACATAGGATGAAATTCTTCAGATATCTTCACTCAATCCTATACCTATGCCCAGATTCTACACCTATCTACACCACAGATCTGGCCCACCTACGATCAGGGCCAGATCTATGGATTTGGGTCTTTTAGTCCGAAATTGCCTCCATATTTCTTTTTCTTGTACATGGACTAGCCTCCCACGCCCTTTAGAAACGGTCCCTGAAATGCCCTTTGCTCTGCATCAGAGGTGCTTGTGATGGTGCAGGTTCATACTCTGATGTCCAAAGAGGTCAAGGGAAGGTTTTTTGTGTTTTTTGTTTGTTTGTTTGTTTGTTTAAATAGTTTTTACCTAATTTCCAAAAAAAGGCAAAATGAAGCAGTCTGGTCCTGAAGCAGGAATGTTAATTGGCCCATTGCCCAACAGCCCTTGCTAGGAATTCTCCAGCAAAACAGAATAGCCTTGTTTTTTCAATCAGCCGATCAGACATTTTGCAAAGTAGGGAAATGCACCAATGCAGAAACGACCCCTGTTGGATCTCTACCCACAGCAACACCTATTGGGTCCCTCAGCCCTGCACATCGGAGGCTGGCCGGGTTCCTGAACCAGGAACAAGCTTCACACCCCACAAGGAATGGGTGTTTCCTCTGGCTCCAGTCTTGTGTCCCAGGGAAACCTCAGTCTGCAGAAAGGAGAAGAAGGGGGCCTCCCCATTCCTGTCATCAGGGGGCCTGAGGATAGGTGACAGAGGTGCTGCGTTACCAGACTACGCCAGGGGGCGTAATGGTGAAGTGAACTGCTCAGAGATGAAACCAAAACAGACACTGTTGTAGTGTTGAAAGTATTATTTACATTAAAGTCCATATATACAGGGGTAAATACAACTTCTCTTGGTCTTTATACAGTCCTGGTCATTCACAGTAGTTCTTCAGTATGCAATGGTAAATTTACAGTTTTCAGTAACCAAAGATTGTTACCAATGTAAATAGTCCAGCATCCACGAAGTCTTCTCCTCTCACCACAGAGATAGTCTTCCTCCAGGATCTTCTCATTGCAATATAGCAAGTCTTCATCCAACGATGCAGAATATACAGCTCTCAGCAACGCGATCACCAGCAACACAACAACCAACCCAAACTATCCAAACTATCCAACTACCCAACAGTTTGTCTCTGCAAGCTTGGCTAGTTTTATTCTTGGTTGAACCAATCAACTTGGTTGTCACACAGCTGCCTCAATTAACTCAGCTGTGTTACTTTGTTACATGTTGCTTCACTAAATCCTGATCCTGTAACAACTTATACACTGAATTGCGATGAACAATTCCCTAGGTTGACTTTGAGACCTGTCAATCTCCTCCAATTGTTTATAGCAATTCTGTAACATATGTAACTTACATAGTACATTGCCTTGAACATATACAGAGTTCCTTTTTACATTCACATATACATTATATCATTCCCAACATTTCACATGCTTTGTTATGTTTAGTTGGCCCCAATACTTTTGTCAAACAATCAGCTTTATTGTTTTCTGTTCCACAGTATACCAGTTC